CTCTTATATAGTTGTGCTTATATTTGTATAACAGTTATAGTTTAAAATTAAAAATATTCTTATAATGTGTGGTGCGTGCGTGCGTGCGTGCGTGCGTACACATTATTCATCAATAATCACAATATTCCAAGGATTATATGTAGAATATCTCGGTCTGCGGCATCCAACATGGTATTGAGCAATGACGTGTCAGGATATTTGATGTTTTTCCTAATTATTAGTGAGTAATGCACACACACACACGCACGCGCGCGCACGCACACACACACAGTTGAGAGGATTTGAGTCATAAAATACTGTGTGAGTGACGAACCGTGGTGTCCTTATTTCTGCTGACACACACACAAACGCACACAACGCAAGCAAGCACCTGTTAAACGCCCACTTTAATCATAAGCATCATCGTACATCGACATCGACTGCACCCGCATTACGCTGCAATAAGATACGAAAAGTCTAACTTTGGAGAGCTATATCTCGAAAACTACCCGTGATCGGACTTTGGGGCCATGGACACTTTTGTTCTACGTGTTGAGAACTACAACATATCAAATTTTTAAAAAAATTAGCCGAAAGACATTTCCTATAAGGATTCTGCGGGGTCCTTTTTTTTTGTTGATATTTTTGAGATACCACTTTTATACTTCATGAAAATAATTTGTAGAATCTCAACTTTAACATATATTTTTTTTAAATCGATCGGTGTGGTGGAACATGGTTAAAAAAATCAATCATTCGCTCAACGCCATGCCGCACCGACTGGGCGGGCGCGGTCCCGGCGCACCGCGGCGCATGGCGGCTGTTGACATGGAACTATACAGGTTGATTCAGAACGACCCCGCGTCCTTGCAAAAACGTGTTCCTGACTGAATTCTGAGACGATTTTTCCTTTACGAAAATTTTATCTGACGCTTATTTTTTGAATTATTAAAAGATAAAGTTAGCGAATTACGATCCGCGAACAGAAGGTAAGCAGGGGCGGCGCACTCACCGTCCGACGCGAACGAACACAAGGGCCACTCATTGCGATCGAAGACATAGAGTTATTCTTTAATTTAAATTAATTTGTTTTCACGACACACACACGACACACACACACACACACACACACACACACTCTCTCTCTCTCTCTCTCTCTCTCTCTCTCTTAGCTTGCAGAGATTAGTTATTTTTATACTGATTTAACTTGACGAATAACTTTCACAATCGGAAGAATTGGGAAAGCAATACGAAGACCTTTGTGACAAACTAATATCAAGTATAATAAAACAGAAATTCGTCTTTCTTTTAAAAATATGTAGTATCTAAAACACTTTCACTAGTTGTAACACTTTCATTGATTTACTAACGCATTTAATCGATACTTGTCAACACCACAGGGAACGATTTACGAACGGTTCTATCGATTTATCGTTATTAATGAATATACTGCTGTTCATGTCGATTCGTAAAAACATAACCTCTTTGATTGTTGTCATCGAGCTCAGTCTTCATATCGGATCATGTCGGGTTGTGTATGTAATGCGTTCCTCACAAGTGATTTAGAAATAAATAATTAACCACTATTCATTAATAACGATAAATCGATAGAATCGTTCGTAAATCAACAAATGTCGATTAAATGCGTTATTAAATTAATGAAAGTGTTACAACTAGTGAAAGTGTTTTAAATACTACATATTTTTAAAAGAAAGACGAATTTCTGTTTTATTACTTGATATTAGTTTGTCACAAGGGTCTTCGTATTGCTTTCCCAATTCTTCCGATTGTGAAAGTTATTCGTCAAGTTAAAGCAGTATAAAAATAACTAATCTCTGCAAGGTGGGAGAGAGAGAGAGAGAGTGCGCGCGCGCGCGTGTGTGTGTGTGTCGTGTGTGTGTCGTGAAAACAAATTAATTTAAATTAAAGAATAACTCTATGTCCTTGATCGCAATGATATAAGATATGTGGATGACATTGCTTTAGCAACTAACAACAATAACATTAATAACATTTTGAATAATTTTAATAATTATCATCCAAGACTTCAATTTACTCTAGAAATTAGTAATAATAAATTAAATTTTTTAGACATCACTTTAATAAAACAGAACAATTCACTTATTTACGACTGGTATCAAAAACCAACCACATCAGGTAAATATCTAAATTATTTTTCACAACATCATTATTCACATAAAATAGGAGTCATAATAAGCCTCACCGACATCCGTCTGCAGTTAGCCTATAAAACTTACAGTTCCCGGAGTTTACCACGAGGAGGTTGCAGTACGTTTTTAAACTCCATATTTTCGGGATGCTTTTTTAACGTGAGTCCCCTCGTCTCTCACATCAACAGAAGAGAATTAATTAATTCTTAATCATCATCACTATCACTTTCAAAATGACAGAAATGGAATTATCGTTCTTAAATATATCGCTGAGTATTTCTGCCGGTTTAAAAATTTTCGATAAATACCTTGCGTAAGATAAATAATATATTATTGCGGCAATATGGGAGCAACAACCAATAGTTCGTCTGCCATTAACACACTCACATGCATAATGAGTCACACCGGAAACATCGATACTATTTGGTTTGTATCTCAGGAAACATTTATATGTTGTACGAGAAATATATCGGGATGGAACTTTTAATTTAAGGACATTTTTCTCATCCTGAACATATTCTATATTTAATTAACCATTTTTATCTACCATCTCTGCCAAATACGACAATGCTTGAGAGAATTGATACGAACCGGTAAAAAAAATCTTTATACCTTTTTCTGTCATTTCCGGAAAACCCAAAAGATCATTACATATGATATTTCTGAAAAGGAGTTTTCGGCGAAACCATCCTTTTTCTTCAGTCTCAATAGCAAAATTATTTTCCGTATCTTTTTGGTTATGCATTCTCTGTACAATTTCATCCACAATTTCTTCATCAGATTGTACTCTTTTCCCAAATGTGTTGTTCAGAAATGATGCAATCCTAAAATGAATTCCAATCCTATAATTGAAGATAATAGTGATGATGATTAAGAATTAATTAATTCTCTTCTGTTGATGTGAGAGGCGAGGAGACTCACGTTAAAAAAGCACCCCGAAAATATGAAGTTTAAAAACGTACTGCAACCTCCTCGTGGTAAACTCCGGGAACTATAAGTTTTATAGGCTAACTGCAGACGGAAATATGTAATATTATATATTATTATATATTATAAT